CCTCCTCCTCCTCCTCCTCCTCCTCCTCCTCCTCCTCCTCCTCCACGGCCCCGCGGGAGCCCAGGGCGGTCCGCATTTCAGTGTCTCGACTGCTGTACAAGTCGAACTGCTGCCACAAGGAACCCTGAATAAGGAACGAGGCCCCCTTTTTATCCACAAGTTCAACTTCGAGTGCCCGTGGAAAGCCGAAGGCACACCTAGAGCAAAAACAACACGATCAAGGAACACTGAGTCCCTCCCCAGCGAGAATGGGTTCCTTATTCAGCGGCCCGACTGTACTGGTCCTGACTCTGGCTGGTGTCGAAGGCGACGGGCGCGAGCCCCCCGCCCGAGGCCTCCAGCAGGCTGCCCAAGCGGAAGTCGATCAGCCCGTCGATGCGCTGGTTGAGCTCATCGATCCTGTGCTGTTCGCCAAGGATCGAGGAACGCACATCGCAACGCAGGAGCGCTGGCCGCGCCACGGTGGGGCCACCTAGAGGAGAGGAAGGGCAGCCGAAGCAGGGAGTGTGACAGAAGAACGCAGAGTGCCATTCAGGGATGAGGACGCACAAGAGAGAGTGAGACGAAACCGGGACCAGGACGAAATTGAACCGGGATAAGTCGGGGATCTCTGAAACCTGCCGGCTCTGGAGGATGCCGTTCCGGGGCGTCCTGGAACGCTCTGCGAGCGTGCCGAGAAGCCCTGGAACGACTGGCCCCGGTCCCGGGCACGCCCAGAACGGGTCCCCGGTCGGAGCTCCAGGTGCACGCGCTGCGGGGCATCCCGCCGCGAGGGAAGCGGCGAGCAGGCACGGTTGGCTTCCGCGGAGGCAGGCATGCAGACGTCGGTCGAGCAGCGGGAGGGGCCCTCCAGAGGCGAGTCGAGGCACAGGAATGAAGGGGCCCTGAGACACACAAATAAAAACACACAAGTAACAAGATTCCCCATATGTTCCCATATTTCCTGGGTTTTTTGTCTTCCCCCCCACTTCCCATATTTTTCCATATTTTCTGGGGAATCGACGATTAATTGTGTCTGTGTGTTTCTTTCCCTCCTGAATGACGGAGGACAGAAAGGAGGAGGGCGCGCAGGGAGCGGTGGCTGGACTCTGAGCGGTCAGCTGTTCGGTCAGTGGTGCCCTGGGCATGAAAGGCCCGCGACAATTTTGGGGCAGCAGGGCAAACACCGTGAGTCCTGGACCCCGTGCAGCTCTGTGCGCGAGCGCACGTTGATTGTAGCGTCATTGCTCTGGTGGGGGTGTACGTACTCTTTCCTCGCGATTCGAAGCGATTGCGTAACTAGGCTGGGCCATCTCTCAAGTGGGCTGAGTGGGCGCTTAAGCACCGACCCTCTCTGGGGAGCGTGATCATCATCGCCTTTGTATTCACAATGATCGTCATCCTGATCATGGACATCACCATCACCACCACACCCATCATCGTCATCGCCTTCGCCATTCACCCTGATCCCGTCATCCACGGCATCATCAAATTCGACTGTGCCTCCAGCTCAGCAATATAACTGCGACGGTGACATGGCCCGATCAACAATTCTGCGGGGGGTATCTCATGGTCCTCTCTGAGAGCGAAGCCGTCACTCGCTCGAGCTGCTTGCCAAGCTTGTCCGAGTCGGCGGCAAACGTCTGCCTCAGCTGGGCCAGGATGTCGTCCCTGATGGCATCGGAAGCATAGGGCCGCCCGTCGTGCTGAGGCGTGGCGCGTGCAGCATAAGAAGCGCAGTGTCGCTCTCGGCCAACTCTGAATACTTCCATACTTTCGTGGTTCCACCCTGCCACAAAAACGCGTCAACCACGGCAAAAGCGCGTCAGCCAAAGCAACACGGAACGGCATCCACGGCACGGCATGGCACGGCTACGACGGCGAGGCACAGAACACCAGCCAGCCGACAGAGAAGGCCGCTGCCACCCCTCAAAACAACAACACGACGACGCGACACGAGCGGTACGGCACTGCACGGCATCGGGCGCGGGGTCGCACCAGCCAGCCACCAGATCGCGAGCTGGCACCACCAGAGCCCCTTCCCCAGGGTGAAGACATGGCTCCCACAGGCACGGCGCGGCACCAGAGCATAGCACGCACAGCTCGGCACGCACCGACACCGACCCATACGTTGGACGCACCTGGCTCTGACGACACGACAAGGCACGGCACAACTAGGGGGCCACTTGCGAACCCTACCCCTACCCCCCACGATTTCTGAGGGGGAGGGTGGGGTTCACTCCGTTCGGGAGCTCCCGAGCGAAGTGAACCCCACCCTCCCCCTCAGAAATCGTCGGGGGTAGGGGTAGGGTTCGCATGTCCCCCTAACAACGGCACGGCACAGACATGCAATACGCAGATGTGTCTTGATGATTCGATCCGACCAGGGCGGTTCACATGAAGTCGCCGGGGCGGGCACGCCTCCTCCCACAAACGCCCATACTCCGCACTGATCTCCAGAGTCCAGCTCCGAGTGCTGCCGTGTGGGACTTCACACGCCCCTATTACATTATTGAGCTTCGAGCGATCCCCACCGAAACCTTCGGCGTTTGATCCCGACGGTACTCGCGCCCATTGGAACGATGTGCGCGCGGCCCGGTACCACCTGCAGGATTAAAAAATGCGGACCCCGTTAGAGCGGCTTTCGACGCACCCACTGACCCTCTCGCGCACAAATCCCCTCATCGTCAACCGGCATAGTCAGACTCACTCATATCCGCGCTTGCTCGCGCGCAGATTGATGGACGCAGTGTCGGCGGGCTGGTGCACGCGCGAACAGAACGCGGAGGTCCGTCGCGGCATCTGAGTTTTCTGGCGACATCAGATTGGGCGGTACGTGTGGCTGCGAGGAAATCCCAAGCGGAATCGTCAACTTCTGCCCGCATGCATCGGGTCCACAATCATGGTTTCGAAGATACCCCAAGCGAAATCACCATTATGTGGTGGCTGAAAATGGAACCAAATAATTTTTGTCCGAGGAAGTCATAGGCGAAATCGCAATTCTCCGGTTGCCAGAGAAATTATCCGGTTGCTCCGAAAAGCGACCAGGGAGGTTTTTGTTGAGGAAGTATTGGGCGGAATCGCGATTCTACGGTCCTCGCCCCATTGGGCGATTATAACATTAAAGGCGAGGATGGAAGAACCGGAGAATCGCGATCCCGCCCAATACTTCCTCAAAAAACACACTCCGGTCGCCTTCTTGAGCGGCCGGAGAATCCCTGGGCCGGTCCCTGCAACAATGTACCGGGGCCTAACGGGATTATCGTCGCACATCTCGCGCGACCTCTCCCGTGGGCACTTTCGGCCAGCGCAGCGGTCTGACCAAGTCGCAAGTTGCCGTTCTCCTGAAATCTAACGGCCCCAGAACCCCTGACGAAAGAAACAAAAATAAACCCTGGGTCGAAAAACGAACCTCCAGAACGCGTGGTGACCGTGGTGCGAGACTCCAAAACATGACCTGAAATAAACAATGAGGAAGAGGATCAGTAGCAGTAGTATCAGTAGTAGAAATAATAATCATGATAAAATTGGTAATAGAAGTAGAGGCAGTATGGCGTGACGTCGTGATGCCTGTCACGTGTGATGCGTCGTCCAATCGGTCGTTGCTCCGCCTGTTTGGTCCAGTGGCCAGCCAGACCTCGGCGCGCACGTCGCGTTTGATAACATTGCAGTACAGTGTATTGTGTCATGACGTTCCTCTTCAATTATGGTCTGTGTTGTTCTAAAATATACTCCTCTGCCCAGTGGCACCGTGTTATATGATTTGCCAGGTAATGTTATATTAGGCGTTGCTCAGTGATGTTGCTTGTGTTATGCTGGATGCATTACAGTACATGATGCCCTGCTCTGTTACGACATACTTCTTGATTGAAAGTATAGTGTTTGGTGTTGCATTCATCTCTTTGTCGTAAGAGTATCGTTAGTGAAGGAGTTATGCTGCTTATGGCATGCTGGTTATGTTGCTTTGTTCTCTGCCCATTTCGTTGTGCTATATTATGATATCCTCTGCAATACTGTGAAATATACGATGTTTGATTACAATTGTTGCCGTCGTGGAACCAATGGTAGAACAATTATGGTACGCTCTGTCATGATATGTGGCGATATAGACCACTATGCTCCACTCTGTCATGGTATGCGTTATTATATGATGCTGTGTTTGATGCTGCGTTCTGCCATGCTCTGTTATGTCGGGCCATGGTTTTCGATTATCTCTTATGTTCTGCTATGCTGTAATATGTGATGCCGAGATCCGTCATGGTATGCTTTGTCACGGTATGAAATGCTGCAACTATGTGTTATGGTATGATATGGTATGTCAGTGTGCGGAATGTGATGCTCTGTTATCTTACGCTGCGTTATGGTGTGCTCTGTCCTTTGGTGTTATGGAGCGTAGTGTTATGGTATGCTCTGTATGCTCCATGGTGTCATTGCATGCGCTGTTTTGACGTGTCCTTTGTGTGTCCTGTTCTGACATAAAATGAGATGTTCTGCGTTGTTATGCTATGACGTTATGCTACACTATGGTATGCTATGATATAATATGGTATGCCGCGCCATCTCATGGTAGGATTCGTCATTGTATGGAATGCTATATGAGTTGATGATGTGCTATGTGTGGTATGTTCTCACATGGTATGTTGTGGTATGGCATGGTATGCCATTGCATGATGCGGCATGCTCTATTATGGTATGGTATGAGGTGCGGTGGAATGCTCTGTTCTGTATGACCCAGCATGTCGTAGCTTATAATAGTGTTACGCCATGGTATATTGATGGTGTAACATAGTATGCCGCGCTCTGTCATGATATGATTTCTCCTATGTGCTGCGATGCTCACTGTCATGTTATATGTACTGTGATGGTGTGAGTTGGTGTGGTGTGGTCTGATATGGTATGGTATGTAATGGTATGTTATGTCAGATTACGTCATGGCATGAAATGGTATGTGATGCTGTGTGTGCTCAAGTATGTCATAGCATGCGGTGTTACGTTGCGTTGTGCTACGACATTATGTGTCATGTTACGTGAGGCTGTGGCGTGGTATGGTTGTGTGGATTAATGTATGTTATGTGTTCGTATGGTATGCTTGCTTTGTCGTGTTATGGAATGTTATGTGCTGCGATGTCGTGCTATGGTATGCACTGGTCTGTCATCTGTCATGTTATGATGTGTCGGCGCGAAGAGGGACACTCGGGGACGCTCCGAAGAATCTGGCGGCCGCGGGTTGCAGAGTGGCGCGAGGCGGGACCCTCGGGGACACTCGGGGACCCGGGGATCTGGCAGCCGCGGTATGCAAAGTGGCGCGAGGAGGGACTTCCAGGGACTCTCGGGGAACCAGAGGGTCTGGCGGGGGCGGTACGCAGAATGGCCCGAAGCGGGACTCTCGGAGACACTTGGGGGACCTGGGGATCTGGCAGCCGCGGTATGCAGAGTAGCGCTGGGCGGGACTCTGATGGGTACTCGGTGGCCTGGGGTGGCGGCCGCGGTATGCAGAGTGGCGCGAGGCGGGCGTCTCGGGGACACTCCGGGGCCTGGGGATCTGGGGGCCGTGGTATGCAGGGTGGATGGGTCGGGAAGTCTGTTCTTCAAATCTAACGGCGTCAACCTGTCGGGCGGGGAACAAGCACAGCGTTCCGTTCTCGGCCGCCCAGGGTCCACTCAAACCACCTAGGCACAGTCCTGACCAGCACGGGGCTTTGAGGCCTTGTGGCGCAGGGCTGCATGACTGGAGGAGCATGCGATGGGTGTTGCCCCGTCGCCGCGGATTGACGGCGCCAACGGACCGTAAAACACAAACCCCCAAGCGGGCCCAACCCTTGGCAGGCTCCCTGGAGGCCCCAGAGGTCCGAAGGAGAGCCTGACAGCCCCCAGGGAGCTCCTGGAAGGTCCCCAAGAGACTTGGAAGCCCCTGAAGCCCCTTGAGGCCTCTCGGGAAGCAGACGCCATGAGTTGGCAGCGCTACATCACCGTCAGCAGATTACGCAAGTTTTTGGAGTGCACCCCGATGAGACTGGCGCCCATGAAGCCCTGGGGGGCTGTCCCTTCCTGGCGGCTCCAGGAGGAACCGCCAAGACTCTCCTGGGGGGTCCTGAATGCCCATGCGAGGCAACTGGCAGAGTTCTCGGCAACAGACCTCGTATGGACCGTGCCCCGCATGACGGCGCTTCGCTGGGCTGAATTACGCACACGTGTTGTACACATCGATCTTCGAAACGTGCACCCACGTACACACAGATACACACGCGCAGTCTGCGTTCGATGTGTGCCCAGCTCACTGAGAAAAGCGTTACGAACAGACAAAAGGAACATCGCAACGCAACTCACGCAATCTGACCTACACCTGCTCCCGCTTCACTCTGACGGGCACACTACACACGTGGGGAGTCACAAAGTTATACCAAAAATGAGATTTGCTCTGTCTGGTGTGCGCTGCTTTGCGAGCGTGAATGTGTATGCGCGTGCGTGTGTGTGTGTGGTGTGCGCATGTGTCGAAATATGTGTATGTGTCTATGTCTGTGTCTGTGTCCGTTTCCGTGTCTGTGTCTGTGTCACTGTCTGTGTGCGTGCGTGTGCGTGAGCGTGTGTGTGTGTGTGTGTGCGTGCGCGTGCGCGTGTGCTTGGACGCCCTAGTGCGTCGGGCGGGGCCGTGACGCCGAAAGTGCGTGTGTCTGCGTGTGTGTCTGTATGTGTGTTTGTGCGTGTGTCCTTGTGTCTGTGTGTCTGTGTGCCTGCGTGCGTGCGTGCATGCGGGCGTGCGGGCGGGCGCGCGTGTGTGTGTGTGTATGCGTAGGTATGTGCGGGTGCGGGTGTAGGTGTTTGTGTTGGTGTGGGTGTGGGTGTGGGTGTGCGAGCGTGAGTGTGGGCGTGTGGTGCGGGTGCGGGTGCGGGTGCGGTGGGCGCCTGCGCGTGCGCGTGCGCGCGCGCGTGCGCGCGTCCGTGTGCGCGTGCGCGTGTGCGCGCGATGCGGGCGCGAGCGCGTGCGCGTGCGCGTGCGTGAGCGCGTGCGTGTGCGTGCGTGCGTGCGCGCATACGTGTGCATGTGCGCGTGCGTGTGCGTGTGCGCATGCGTATGCGTGTGCGTGTGCGTGCGCGTGTGCGCGTGCGTACGCGCGCGCGCGTGCGCGGGCGCGCTCGCGCGCGCGCATGAGCGCGCGCGTGCGCGGGCGCGCGCGCGGGGGCGGGCGCGAGCGCGTGCGCGCGCGTGTGCGCGTGCGTGCGCGCGCGCGCGTGCGCGTGCGCATGCGCGGGCCGCAAGCGCGGGCGTGGCGCGCGTGCGTGCGCGCGTGTGCGCGCGTGCGTGTGCGCGTGTGCGCGTGCGTGTGCGTGTGTGCGTGTGTGCGTGTGTGCGTGTGTGCGCGTGTGCGTGTGTGCGTGCGTGCGCGCGTACGTGCGCGCGTGCGCGCGCGTGGTGCGCGCGCGCGTGGGCGCGCGGGCGCGCGGGCGCGCGGGCGCGCGGCGCGCGGGGGCGCGAGGGCGCGGGGCACGCGGGGGGGCGCGGGCGCGCGGGGCGCGCGGGCGCGTGGACGCTGACGCGCGAGCGCGCGGGGCGCGCGAGGCGCGTGGGGCGCGGAAGGAGCGCGGGACGCGTGACGCGAGTGGCGAGCGCGTGGGCGCGTGGGCGCGCGGTAAGCGCGCGGTGGGCGCGCGGTGGGCGCGTGGGCGCGCGGGCGTGTGGACGTGTCTGCGTGCGTGCGCGTGCGCGCGCGCGTGTGCGCGTGCGCGCGCGCGTGCGCGCGCGTGCGCGCGTGCGCGTGCGTGCGCGTGCGCGCGTGCGCGTGCGAGTGCGTGACATGTGCATGGCGAGTGCGTGCGCGCGTGTGCGTTTGCGCGCGCGCGTGCGCGTGCGTGCGCTGCGCGCGTGCGCGTGCGAGTGCGTGAGCATGTTGCATGGTGCGAGTGCGTGCGCGCGTGTGCGTGTGCGCGCGCGTGCGCGCGTGCGCGTGTGTTGCGGGTGTGACGCGCGTGTGTGCTGCGCGCGCGTGTGCGCGTGGCGCGTGGCGCGTGGGCGCGCGCGCGTGGGCGCGCGCGCGTGGGCGCGGGACCGCGGGGCGTTTGCGCGCAATGGCGCATGGCGCGTGGGCCGTGGGCACGTGGGTGCGTGGGCGCGCGGGGCGCGCGTGGACGCGCGGGGCGCGCGGGGCGCGCGGGGCGCGCGGGCGCGCGGGCGCGCGGGGCGCGCGGGGCGTGGCGTGGCGCGGGGGCGGGGGCGCGCGGCGGGCGCGCGGCGCGGCGCGCGGTGGGCGCGTGGTGGCGCGCGGGTGCGCGTGGGCGTGTGTGCGTGCGCGCGCGTGCACTGCGCGTGCGTGCGCGGGCGCGTGCGCGCGCGCGCGCGTGGGCGCGTGGGCGCGCGTGCGCGGGCGCGTGGGTGCGCGGGCGCGTGGGCACGTGGGCGCGGGTGTGGGCGCATGGGTGTGAGGGAGCCTGTGTGCGCGGGTGCGTGGGTGCATGCGGGTGCGCGAGGGTGCGCGTGGGTGCGTGGGCATGTGCGGGTGTGTGGGTGTGCGCGGGTGCGCGTGTGTGCGTGTGTCTGCGTGTGTCTGTGCGCGTGTGTCTGTGTCTATGTGTCTCTGTGTCTCTGTGTCTCGGTGTCTCTGCGTGTGTCTACGTGTTTGTGCACATGTGCGTTCGTGCGTTTGTGCGCGCGTTGCTTCGCGCCTTTCACCCGGGACTCGCCCCCCCGCACTGGGCCCCGCCGCCGCTGGCTCGCCGGCGCAGCAGCCGCCGCGGCCACTGCGGCGGGGCTGGCAGCGCCACGCGCTCGGAGAGCGATCTGGCCCCTGGGCCGTCCGCCCCGCCTCTATTTTCCTTCGGCCGCGCCCTCTCCTCGCCCTCCTCTTGCACGGCGGCGCGTTTCGCTCTAACGGCATCCCCGTTTACGCCCCCCTCGCCAGCGCAGTCACCCTCTGCCCAGCTGCCGACGCAAAGTGTTTGCGCGCGCGTGTGCGTCCGCAGCAATTTTGGCCCGAGGTCTTAACCTCGCCCGGGGGTTAGAGCCTTGGTCGCTGCCGACGGGGAAGCTCGAGGGCCCCGCCCGCCGGCGAGCGCGCGCGCGGCGCGCGGGGGCTCCGCGCTGCGCGGGCCCCGGTGCATGGATGGCTTAGTCGCGGCAGGCAGAGCGGCCGCCCCTGCCGGCCGGCTGGGCCTGGGCGCGGCATCTCTGCCCCCAGAGCCGGGGGCCTGGTGGCCGCCCAGCGCCCCGGGAGGAGGGCCGCAAGGGAAGGAAGAAGAAGGCCAAGCCTCCCAACTGGCCGCGGCGGAGGCTGGCGGAGCAGCGCCGGGCGCAGCAGCCAAGGGCCGCTGCCCGGAGCCCCTGGCGGGGGCCGCGCTTCCCCTCGAGGAGGCCCCGCGGACGCCGCGGACAGCCACGCCTGACGGCGGCCGGCAGGAGCCCCAGCGCCCCTCCCGAGCCGGCCAACGGGCCGCCGAGCTCGGATGCTGATAGCGAAGGCATCGACCTCCAGGCGGCGCACGACGCCTTGGACGCCCAGGCTCTCTCCCGGCTCGGACCGGCGCGGGCTTGGGCAGACGCGGGTGAGGTGGGGGCGGGCAGCGACAACGCCGCGCTGCCTGCTGGACCGCGCCCGCCTGCGCCGGGCACGCCGGACCCGCGGCGGCTGGCCCACGGCGCCCAACGCGGGGCCCCCGCTGGCAGCCTCGAGTCCGCAGCCGCCCCGGGCGCGGCCGCCCCGCGCGGCGCCGCGGCGAGCACCCCCCCTGGCGGGGAGGCGGCCCGCGGTGTGCCGCGCGCCGAGACGGAGGGCGCGACTGCCCCGCAGCCAGCGGCTTCGGCCACCCCCGCCACCGCGAACGCGCGGGCGGCGAGCGCCCCCCCTGCGGGGGCGGCCCGCGCCGCGGCAGCGGCGGGCGCGGAGAGCACACCAGCGAACGCCCCTGGAGCGGCCCACGAAGCGGCCTGCGCCCCTGAGGCGGGCGGCGGCGACCGGGACTCGGCGGCCGGCGCTGCGGCGAGCGCCTCCGCGGCGGAGGCGGCCCGCGGCGCCGCGAGCGCGGCTGCGGC